CACACACACACACACCACACACACACACACCACACACACACACACACACACACACACACATATATATATATATATATATATATATTATATATATATATAATATATATATATTATATATATATATATATATATATATATATATATATATATATATATTTTATATAGATTCTACCTTGTGTCTTACAAATAGAATCATACAGTATTCAATTATGAAAAAATGGAAAAACATCTGTGTCTAAAATGGTTTAGATTGCAAAATAAACCAAAACATAGTAATTTGAATGTATTTTTGTCTAAAAACTATAAATAAATATATAGGTACTAATAACTTACCTTCAAAGATCAATACAATACTGCAGTTTTGACAAAAAACTTAAAAAGATCGGAAGACCTCCGCGGTACGTACCGTGTTACGATCAAAATTATTATCATAATACGGCTAGGGTCTCCCGGGTCCCGAACTTCATTTCGGTTACTATGAGATTTGCCGCGAAATTTTACACAAGGCGCTCTTTGAACTATCGACATCTGTTGACTAATAGTGGAAATACGCCTTTCGAATATTGGGAAAGTCAAGAAAGATTACTACAAAAATTTTAGATCATGACATGTACAGGACCTCGGGGTCCCGAACCGCCGTGAAGGTGTTAAAAGGGGTGCCAACATGAACCTTAAACATTACAGAACAGTTTGTTTAATCAATTATCTTTGCACACTGTACACTAGAATAATAACCAATCGATCGGAAACAAAATTTAAACTACCAAGAGAACTGTCTGGTTTTCGTCCCAACTACAGTACCAATGACATATAGAGTACATAGAAGTCTTGATTGAAACATGTATTGGCGACGTGCAAGTACTTGGAGGGGATACGAGAAACGGTCGTGCGCGAGTAGTGGAGAAATTTTGCATTTTTTACTGTACATTTCATAGATTATAGATTTCATAAATTCATATTGTCAATTGTCATATTTCATATTCGTTTTGTTTATTTACACCTTCTGTCACTGAAGAAAATGGAATTTAGGAAATTGCTGTGTTATAAATTGTAAAAATCACAAACAAAAAATGTCAATTTAAGTTTTATTCGTTTCCAACTTCGAAGCACAAAGCTACTACAAAGAGAAAAGTGGATTTTATCATAAAAAAGCATAAGTAAACATAACCTAAATTATGCATTATTCTTGCGCCCGATTTTAAAGTCAGTTTGAAATAAATAATAAATAAAAGTTCACTTTTAAGTGTAAATTTTAGTTTCATAACACTCACTTAGAGTTCATTTTAACCCAAAAAATCAAGTTTAATGTTTGAATTTTATTTTTTTTTGAAGTTTACAAAAATGCATCAAGTTCAGTTTTTCTGAAGATGCATTAAGATATATTCGCTGTCCAAAAGTTTACAGGGAAAGGGGCATTTCGCAATTGCGGGCACTCTAACCTAACCAAGCATTTATATGACATTTAACGTTCGCTTAAATGGTGTCAGAGTTGCCAAGTCTCCAGTTTTTTCATACTCTCACATAATATTATAATTAAAGTGATATATAAAAAATTAATAGTATAGATTTTAGTTAAATTAAAGATAATAATCAATGCATATACAATAGAATTGATTAAAATTATATAAAAAATTAATAGTAATAATTAAATTACCGTATATAATAGAAATGCATTGAAATTATATAAAAATTCAAAGATTTTACAAAATATTTGTTTTATAAGAAACAAACTTTTTTTTATAAGAAATTTGTTTTTAAACTTATTTAAATCTTGTAGCTTCTCATAATACAAATTATAATTTCGTAAAAGTAACTTATATTTAAACTTCATATACATTTTACAAAAAAAATACGGCAAGTTTTTATACTTATTTAAAATTTGTAGCTTCTCATAACAAAATTATTATTTCGTAAAAGTAAATTTATATTTGTAGCATTCATATACATATTTTACTAAAATAAATACGGCAACACTGTGACGCAGTGCCTTGAGGAAAATATATTTGGTTAGGTTAGAGTGCCCGCAATTGCGAAATGCCCCAGGGAAAGAATTAATTGTTCAAACCAATATGATAGTCATGGGCTTAACCTGCTAATTTATGCATTAGCATTATTTATGGTAATTTAAGAACTCACATCATTCTTCCATTCTTTTTTGACATTTGCCACTACTAAAGCTTTTCCCTTTGACTCGTGCTTGGTTGAAAAGTTATTTGGTGATTTACTTTCTCAAATCCAGTTTTATTATGGCATTCCATTTAACAGTAATGCTGTAATTCAATAATATATTTATTTGTATTATACGCTATATCAACGTTTACCTTTTAATAACATACCGACATAACCTCAATCTTACTTTTTCTTCTTATTCTTTTTTGGGCGCCACGTCCTTGACAGTTATCCGGTAACCTCGATCTAACATGAAAGCGCAGTAAATTTGGCTGATTTACGACACCAGTGTCGCTGTTCCGAACTTGCTACGGTACCAATAGTCTTTGTAGACTTTTAGGAAGCGTTTGAAACTATCCAACTACCCGTACTTATAAAAACCCTAGATGAGTGTCGAATTGATCATAGGTACACCAACATTATAGAAAAAATATATAGCAATGCTACAACAATAAATTTGCACCTCCTACCAGTAAGATACATATCAGAAGAGGTGTTCGACAGGGAGATACTATGTCAGCAAAGTTGTTCATCACTATATTTGAACATGCTTTGAAGGCACTGGAATGGAAAATAAAGGAATAAATGATGATGGCGAGATGCTTAGTCATCTAGATCGCAGATGCCATTGTCCTTATTTCAGATAACCAAAAATTGTTAGTGTTATGTTAAATGAACTCAGCGATGCAGCAGTAAGGCAGGTCTGAATATTAATTACCAAAAGACAAAAATGATGGCGAGTTTTCGAGCTCCGAGCCATCCTTTGAAGGTAGAAGACGTCGAAATTCAAGTTGCTGACAGTTACATCTACCTTGGACATCATCAACTAGCCTATATTTGTCCAACGCTGAACGTAGGCCTCACGTAAAATTTTCCACCGAGTATCTTTCTTGATGCTTCTTGCATCGAATTTGTGGTGATCATCCGTCCATCTAGTCGGTGGTCATACTCTGTTTCGATATGCTTCTTGTCTTGGCGCCATTGAAAAATCTTTCTGGTTCATCTATCATTCGTCAATCTGGCAACACGTCCGGCTAAAGCTCATTTAGACATGGCTAATTTTTCAACTGCATCCGTGACGCTCGTTCTTTTTCTTATTTCTAGGTTTGCTAATTTATCTCTAATGGTGGTACCTAACATTGATCTTTCCAAAGCGTGTTGCGAGACTCTTATTTTATTTATTGTTCCTTTTGTCAGAGTTAGTGTTCCTGAACCATATGTAAGGACCGGTAAAACAAATTGGTTAAAACCTTTCTTTAGGCTTAGACTTAAAAATGTTATTCAATCTACCAAAGGCAGCCAATGTGAGACTAATCCTTCTTTGTATTTTAGTTGTCTGATTATCTCGGCCTTAGCAAATCTCATGCCCTAGATAAGCTATTATTTGGTCGATGCTATGGCTTTCAATGTGAATTTTCTCGCTGACTACGAGGTTAGTCATAAATTTTGTCTTTGAGGTGTTAATTTTAAGATCAATTCTTTTTGATGATGTATCTTCATGAAGTCGGACACAAGTTGTACCAATTTCGTAGATACTCTTAGTCAAGGCAAGATTTCGGTAGTCAGCCAATGATCGAAGCATTTCCTTGGACGTATGGCAGAGATAATCAAAGTTAATAAGGGTTAGTGTATAAATACTTAGTTACTAGGTTAGTAATAAAATGGTCATTTTGGATTTGGTGGTTTTACTTACATCTAGAACTTCATTTCGTTCCTGATCAAAAATTTTATACATGGTTTCAAACAGTGTTCTACAGACAACAATGAGGAAGTCTTAACTATATCTAATACAATAATAGAAAGAGTAGGACACTGTAAATACCTTAACGGAACGGAACGAATTGGATAACGAGAAGAAGAACAAGCAAAAATAAGATGCCATATACGAATAGCAGGAGCCACCTTCTTGAAAATGAAAAAAACTATTAAACAATAGAAACATAACATTAAAATTAAGAACGAGGTTATTACGATGGTATATATTCTCCACATTGCTGTATGGCGGTGAAGCATGGACGTTGAAAAAATCAGACCTACATAAATTAGAAGTATTCGAAAGATGGTGCTCCCGTAAAATGGTGTATATACCGTGTTACAAATCAAGAAGTGCTGCGAAGAATGAACAACAGAAAGTAATACAAACAGTGAAAACTGTAGTATTTTGGTCATATAATGAGGGAAACCTGACACAGGATGCTAGATCGAATTATGGAAGAAAAGATAAGCAGCATGCGTTTTCAGTATCTGAAAACGGATAATTTATTGGCTTAAAAATTTATGGAAATGGCATAATATGATTTCAACTCAATTATATGACAGCTGTGAATAAAGTTACGAATCGGCATAATGATTTCCAAACCCGATAGGAGAGAGAACTTTAAGAAGAAGAATTAAGTATTCCTTTAGCATCTTAGATGTTTGAGCATATTGTGAACAAATTGTATCATCATCCTCGTATTCATCGACGGCTTTGTGGAAGTGGAAGGCCATCCATTCCTTGACCATCCTTTGGACATTTTAAACAATATCTTCACAAAAGCTGTTACATGCCTTTAGATGCTTGGACAAGTTGTCCGAAGGGATGCATCGTCTAGACGAGTCATAAGAGTTATAAAAAATACTAGTTACAATGTAAAGCGGAAGACTATTTTCTATACAGGGAAAAAGAAATAAAATTTCTACACAGGTTTTATCAATCAAGCTAAAATTATATTTATACTCACAATGTCACTTTAATCCTATTCAATTCTATTGCCTATTACATTTTTAACAGATGACAATAAAATAAAGAATGACAAAAATTGAGTTTTTAGTACCTAATTCTAATATATATAGAAAAGAAGAGTGCTGCCTCCAGAACAAAAGTACATACTCTGGATGAAATGAGAAAAACACCCTCACCTATTATAAATAGCAGTAAGAATGTGTGTACTCTGTTCATATCTGGCTTCGTTATTTACAGCTGTCTGAATCCATTTTTTCTTAACTTTGGACCATCTCTTCAAATGCATTTGCATTAATGATTGTCTGCTGGGTGGAGGACATTCTTCCTAAAATAAGAAAAGTCAATAACATTTTTATCATTTTTAAACTCTTTACTGCAGTTGCAGATATGGTATTTAGATCCAAATTATTCCAGATATTAAGGCTGTTTTATCGGCACACCACAACCTAGAGGACATGTGTTTTCTCTGATTATTTACCGACACAATTCTCGAAATTTGGACAGTTATTCAAAATTATGTTGCCTTTAAACTGATGGTTTTACTTTATAAATTTTTTTGAAAGTTTTTTTTGAAATATCGGATTATGCAGTTTAACGTTCAATTATAACAAACTTTTTACGCCCATTACTTGAAAAGCAGTTTTTTTTATGTAATCACTGATTTTTTTCACCTTTTTGTATTCAGTAATAATCGAGAAAAGCGTGTTCAAGCGGTATTACTCATCATTACTTAGTTTCCCGGTATCGGCTTCGTGACGTCAACACTCATGAAAGTACGGTCAGTTAGTTCGATTTGAAATCATTTTCAAGCCATAAACTGCGAACATTGTTTATTTTGTTTGTGACAACAAATTGCATTTTTTTTTGATAATAATATTTTATGTTATTTTAAATTTATTATAAATAAACACCATGATGTTTTTTGCAATCACGATTCACACATTTTTATTCAATATTATATTTAGCTAATTCAATTAATTAATTCAACAACCAAGGCTCAGACTATGAAGAAGTACTCATACTAAATACAAAGGAAGAAGTACTGAAAAGGTGGGTGGAACACTTTAAAGAACTACTTACTATAGAAGTAGAAGATCCAGATCCAAATCAACACCCGCAGGAGCAGAGCAACAATTCACCATTATAATCTCCGTCAATTCAAGGAAGTACGAGATGCAATAAAACACCTAAATAACATTAAATCTCAGGAAGTGATGGTATACACGCGGAACTTCATTAATGTGGAGGTGCTACTGTGACTAATCAAAATAAATAAAAATAATACTGAGAGCTTGGAATGAGGAACAAATCCCGGAAGAGTGGTGTTATTGGAATCGTTTGTCCGCTACACAAAAAGGGTGACCAATTGGGACTGTAGAAACTAACGGGGAATAACCCTCCTTAATACAGCATACAAAATATTTTCGAGGATCTTATATGGTCGCCTAAGTGCATATTCAGAGGAACTTCTCGGGGAATATCAAAGTGGCTTTAGACCTGGTCGATCAAACAACAGATAGATCTTTGTGCTAAGGCAAATACTGGAAAAAAAAACCAATGAATTCAATATCGATACATACCATACTTTTGTAGACTTCAAATCTGCCTATGATAGTGTCCTAAGAAATAAATTGTATGAAGCCATTAATGCAATTCCACATCCCGATAAAACTGATAAGATTGGTTAAGGCTACAATGCGTAATGTGGTTTGCAAAGTCAAAATACAGGGCGAACAATCACAGGCGTTTGGAACGCATGTTGGGGCTGCGACAGGGAGACGCGCTGGGTGGTCTCCCTCCTTTTCAACATACACTGGGAAAATGCGATCAGAGATGCCCGAATAGACAACAGATGGAAATATGTTTAATAAATCATCCCAAATTTTGGCATAATGCAGATGATGTGGACCTAGTTGCCCGCACAAACACGCAAGCTAGAAGAAAATGTTATAACCACCTTCTCACATGCCTCAAAATCTATGGGCCCTCAAGCAAGAAATGTGATGAAAAACTAGAATGTGGCCATCAACACCCAACAATAGAGTCAGGAACATCGGTCCCCCAATTCACGGTTGATAACTCTACCCTGTTGAAGTGGGGCGTGTGGACAAAATTCACATACTTAGGCTCCCAGATCACGCATAAGAGAACTGCCACATAACGGCAGATACTCAAGCGAAGGATAAGAATACTGGCAAAACAGCATAGCTTATTTATGGGACTGAGATAGACATATGAGAAGTAGAAACTTTAAGCTCCAAATAACAAAAAAGTACACTTAATATAACAAAAAGCTCCTTAAAATACAGCCAGAGGTTGACACTAAGCGATCGGAGACAATGGACCAACTGCCAAGGCAGGACAGAAGACCTTCTGCTGTATATTTAAAACGAAGGATCCTGATGAGGAAATATTTGGTGGCGATCTGGTGAAGGTGTGACAATGGTATTTGGAGGAGGAGGAAGATACAACTACGAGATATGCCACAGAATATAAACAAATAAATTGGTGGTAAGGAGAGTAGTAACTTTATAAGAATGAGGAAGACTAAGATGGGAGGAGGAGCATCTAGAGCAGAACCGCCCTCCTAGAAGAAACCTTATGTCCCAACCTGGTGGTGAAGTTAGAACAAGGGGTAGGCCAAAAAACTCAGTATGGAAGTGATGGTGTAGATGAGGCTGGGTAAGAAAGAATAGGCGCAGCTAAACTGGCAACGGTTGGGCAATGGATAAGGACCTGGCCTGGCGTATATAGCCGTTGAGGAAAGGTACGAGGACTCTTTCAATAGGGGCTGTCGTCACCATTGATGAGATGGGGGATGAGTGTAGCTAAGACATTATAATTAAAAATGTGATAATTCTTTTTAAAAACATCTAACGATAAACAGATTACAAAAAAGTTTATTCCCGACAAACTTAATTTGAAGGATAGATATAATGGCATTTTTTTGTCATTAAAACTACCTGTCCGGCCGACCCCCCTACTGAGTAAACAGCTGTGACCGCCGTGCGGCTGGCCTAGGCGTACGCCGTGTAGAAAAGTAAAGTGAACGAACTGGCCCTTTCAGATCGCAGTGTGCATTGACTGCTAAAAAACAGGCGCTCAAACATCTGTTTGTCAAGACTGATGTTACTCAGGTTACTCTAGACATTGCTGTCGTCTGTTCCCTCCTCGTAATCATGTAGTAGTGACCTCCGTAATCCCTGATCGTCGTGGTTAATTAAAAGTAGATTGAGTGTTTAGATTCCCAAAATTATATTTTAGAAAACGGAAGGACAAATTAGTGTCACCTCGAAGACGTTGATGCTCAAATGTCTTAGATGAGCCCATGGAGAATGTAATCTTGGACGAACCGAATGCGAGAGTTCTGTAGCTTTACGTTGACCATTTTTCGAGTAAGGTATTTTATCCACTACTGATTATCTGGATTCCATCACCGGCCCGACAAAATCAAGCAATAGAGTCTGTCATGTAATACAAACAGCGGTGAGCGTTGATACGTGTTAAACCAGTTACATGATCAGATAAGCAGTTTCAAGTTGGTACATTAACACATCGACATTATGTGAATCCGACCAATTGGATTAATTTAATGCAATGCTCCGATGAAATCGTTGTGGGGAGGTCATCGTAGTTTAGGAATTTATTAATGGACCATCGAGGGATGTCCATAATAGAATTATGATAGTGATGGGTTATTTTAGCCGATGTGTGATACAAACGCATTTGTCGCATGTATAAGGAGAAAGGAACCAGTCTAAGGGACCATTTGATTATTGCGTCAAGATGGTGGTTGCGTCACATATTAGTTTTGGTATATTCAAAATTTGGAGTAACCTGAACTCCAGGATTTCGCCAGAATGGGGGGGAGATACCCCTGATAAAAAGAGGTCATTCAGTGAATAAGGAGGTTACAGGAAGTGGTTACCATAATTTCTGCACGAATTGGTTTAAGGAAGAGAAGGACGTTTTATTTTTCGTTCCAGTTCAGGGGTGAAGAATTATTGCGTTGTTATTTGTAAACGGTTTAATTGCCTCCTGGTGGTGGAAATAGATTGTCATTAAGAGATGCCTGTGCAGATAGGGGGGGACACGATATTTAAGAGAACGTGTTTATTCTCCATTAATACGAGGTTTTCAAACGCCTCGTAAACGAAGCTCCTTTAACCGAAGTTGCTGACATAAGCTGTCTTGTCATTAGCAGAATAAGTTTTCAGACTCATTTTCCAAGTTTATTTTTTTTGTACGACGAATAATTTCTAGCATGGTATTCACACATTGTATCATCCGACAGATATACGGTTAATTTTGATACGGAAATTACCGACTACTATAAAATGGTTAACTCTTACTAGACTGGCCTTTCTTGAAAATCCCGATAGGACTAGGCTCTAGGACAGATTAAGTTTATTCCTGTCATGAGCCTATTTTATTTAGTGGCGCCTCTCGGTGATGTTCAGGGACGCCCCTGGTCAAAATATTTTTTAAACGTGATATGCGGTCATGGCGGCCTCTAGTGACCAATGCAATCAGTAGGATTCCTATTGTGGTCATGGAATCAAAGTTGGATTTTAATTTTATGGCTGAGTTTCAGAATAGTTTAATAATCAAAGTCTTTCAATTTTATTCTTAATATCCCGTTTTAAGTCCTCACTAGAAGAATTCATAAGAGATTCATTGAGTTATTCCCGATGTTTTGGAACTTTAATGCATTGCCAGTATCACCAATATGATGGAAGTATTGTTTTACCCTGGTAAAGGCATGGACTATACCTAATCATACCGCGCTTTCCGATCCAACTACCATCAGACAGACGAACTATCTCTGACTGTGACCAATCCTACTCCCACCCATCTCCGATTATACACCAACATTGCTGACTATTCGTATTCTAGCTACGGGGTGTTCAAGTTTTGCGGTGTTGTTTTCATAAAACGCACTCATACGAGCTTCTGGCAATTCTCAACAGAGAAAAATTTGTACAGAAATAAAGGTCCTGTGAGAAGAAGGATATCATAGCTGTACAAACTAAAAAATAGGTAAACTAAAACTACTATAGGACTTTTTATGGCAGAAATAAAACATTCAGAATAGCGATGATGATATTAAAGCGAAATTCAAATTAACGGAGAATGTATCAATAACATCAGATAGGCGGACGACACGGTTGTATGCGCTGACAGTCATGAATCCCTTCAGGAGTTAATGAATAGAATTACAGAAGTACGCCAGAGATAGAGACTTTCACTAAACATTAAGCAAAAAATATATGATAATATCTAAGAAGGAATAGCAATTTGGAAGAATCAGTGTGAATGGTGAACCGATAGAAAGACTAAAAAACACACACACCTACCTTGGTGCCAACGTCAATAAAAATTGGTACCGATTCCTAGAAATCAAATGTAGCATATAGAAAGCAAGATCTGCATTTCAAAAAATGGGCTAAACTATTTAAATATCATTATTTATCAGTACCCATAAAAATCAGGTTACTACTATATTATATTTTTCCTATACTGTTGGAAGGAAAACGAGGACCAGAAAGGCGAAGGATTTCCAGCTGAAAAATCTAGGTGGTTTAAACACAACAACCACAAATATTTTCAGATCAGCAGTGTGCAAAATACAGATTGTCATGATATTTGCCAACAGGCAAACAATAGACACTACAAGAAGAAGATGTTAGTATCCAACACCCATAATGTATACACAGTACAAGAAGATTTTAACTGTCAGCATTTTAGTCATTTGCTAAATATTTTTCCTTATGTAATTGAAAAAAAAATAGTATTTTAAAAAATGTGCTAATGGTACTTACATAATCTAAATTCACGTTATTTTTATTTTGCTTTTGCTCGGGCAGAGGTGACGGAACTCTGCTAATAAACGGGGTAATGGCTGCCGGTAATCTATGTACTTCAGAAGCATTGTCAATCCATGAATTATTCACGGGTTCTGGAGAAGATAATCTTCGTCTGTAATGTTAAAATATAATAAAACTTTTAGTTTCTGAAAAAAACCAAACATAGTAAACAAATGCACCCATTGGAAAAGGAAGAAAAATTAAAGGAAAAATAATTTACAGGCGATCTGAGATCGGGAAGCGACAGGAGTGAGTTTTAAGGGTAAATAAGTTTCATCCTGTTACTATTTTTTGGCCTCAAAAATTATCTGCCCTTGCCTAATATTGTAACGGTTCAAAAAATCTAGTTGAATTCCTGTATTTCAAAAGTCCTTTAATTTGATTTTAAATCAGAAAGCAATAACTTTTATGTGAAATATCTTAATAATCTATACAGTTCCTAATATGCACTTATATTGCAGTCATTGAAGCGAAAAATATGGTCTTAGATCCGAATTTTTTTACTGTGAACCGATTTGCATAAAATTTTGGAATTAATCATCTTACCCTTAACTTCAAAAGTGAAAATGATTTGAACTCCGTAACCACCCTGGGGGTGGTTGCCACCCTTCTCGGGGCGAATTTATTTTTTTTTTCAAATAACCTCGGATATCGATAGAAGGCCTAATTTTAAGCAAAAATAATCATAAAGTTTTTCGAAAAAATCCAAATACTTAATCAAGTTATTGAAAATAATCTGCTACAGAATTACGAGACAGTTGGGAGAGGGATTAAGGACTTACTAATGTATCAGTAGGTCCCTGTAAATGACTAGTCACCAAATGGTAAAAATACAAATAGATCCGTCACAGGGATGCTATACCCTGCAGAGCGGCTGCACGGAGATACTGGTTCACACTGGTCTGGAGAGGCCTGGCCGCGTACTTGTTCCGTGGATTTAACGGAGAAGAAAAGGGATTTCGGGGATAGGGGTAAGAATACTCCTCGGTCTTCAAGTGTCCTGTAAAGAGTAGAGGTTTATGGGCTTATACTTTTGAAGCCGGAGCTATGTATAGCAGCAAATTCGCACGGGTTCTCCTAGTCTCTCGGTGAGTGTCGGACGAAGGAACCTTTAAAAAAATAACCCATATTAGAGTCAACAAAATATTGAATCTAACCCTGAAGTTCCTAATACAATTCGTTAACACAGTTATTCTGCGCGAGATCGTAGGAAGACGACTAGATACGCAAGATAGTGTAAAGTTGACAGAGGTACAAATATAATTAACACAGGTTAGTAATAGAGAAATCTGTTTACCGCGTTAATGTGTATATTAGGGCATCAACCAGGACCACGTTTCAGTCTTCTGAGAACAATCGGTCAGTTTGAGGGTTGCGAACTTATCGAGCTGCCACAATAACCGGATACTACGAGCGAATTCTGACAGAAGATACCCCGGCCCGCCGGAGGAAAAATCACCGACTGTCCCGCGTACTGTTCGCGTACTGGACGCTAATCTGCGTCCAAGCCGGAGGCTCTGCCAATTACTGAACGCTCCATTACTGACTACTGATTACTAAACTGTCTTGTACCCGTACGCTACCGCGTCGGACAAGCCGGCGCGGCTGCCTGGCAATACTGCCAGAACGGGCAGTCCAACGGTGCCCTCCGGTTATCCCTACTGACTGACTGACTACTAACTATGACTTGGACGTCCTCGTCGTTTATTTCAGTCTTTAATTGAGGTCGTACTTTCAAAACGCCTGGTTCCAAGAACCAGAGTCGTAGGATCGCTTGAGTTTAGCTAGATAAGGTATGGTATAAATAGCTAGCCGAATTAGGGTCACGGAAGTTTCGGAGCTTTTATAATACGGATTAAAACAATGTAACAAGCAATGAGCAATAGACTCACCCCCAGGGCAATTGTTTAATACTTAGGTATAATTTAAATGGTAGAAAAGTTAACTGATAGTATACTTATCCCCAACATTAATTTTGTGAATATATGGATAATTTTCCTCGACCAAAATTATTTATCTTATCCATGCTTACCCACCGTTCCATTATCCCCTTATTCCAACTTATCTCACTTCACTTGCTTACGCTTACATTACAACTTAGTTTTTTTTCTCTACTTCCCTACGCAAAAATGAAAAGGGCGAGGGGCCCTATTATTCCTTTTCCATACAATAAAATTTTAGCTAATATTGTTTCTATATAGATCTATAGTACCGTGGTCAGCCGAATGTATCGTGCTGCCCCCGTATAATGAACCTATGTGTATGACAGGTTGAGTGTATTCTTGTTTAATCTAATTGAAACTTAAACAGTGAAAGACTTTCCTAACTATATTACAAATTGTTTGTTGATTACATGTGTCCATTACGAACAAGCGTTATTCTAATTGTTCTATACGATTGTACTCGCGTTTTGCGTTCAACTGTTCACAACGTTATTCGCGTATCCCATGTGGGAATTATCCGCAACTTCACTCGCGTCGTCTTGGGCTGTTTTAATGTCCGTTTGCCAATTCCCACGTGTCGAGTTTAACTTAATTGATGCGTTACTGCTGCTGTCTGCCTCCGTTGGTTTGTCCTTGCTGGGGTGGACCGTCTCAGGTTGGATACATCTGCTAGTTGCTAGTTGTCTCAATAGACCTTCTGCTAAAATTGTGTATCTGGTATGTTGTTTGCTACATCTTTTTGTCCAGTGTTTCCCATCCGTCTGACTACTGGTAGTTCGTCGCGTGGCGTGGGCAGTATTGGTATCTATCTTTTCATCTTATCGGTTCATCTTTTGGTTATTTTGGTGTCGGTTGTTATAACCACTGGTTGGGGTAGATTTGGTCCATAGCCCTTGCTATGATGTAGGTAGCTGCTTGCTCTATTGTTGTGATATCCTTAACACCATTCAGTATTATTTCGCAGGCCATATATAATATGTTTTCTGTGATATTAAAATGACGCCAATCCAGGCGAGCTGTGAGGTATTTCCCAAGTGTGGGATAACCATCCCCATATTCTGTTGAGGGTAGCGAGTGAGCGATCTCTTTTATATTCGTTTTCATCAAAACAGTTTGGATAATGAATACGCCTTGGTTTATTGTTTCTCTGGCCTGCTTGTATCTTTTCTGTGAAATTGATGTTCTCTTACTGCCTTTCTTTCAGATTCCAAAACATTGACTATCCTTTGGGCTGTCTTATGTATTGTCATGTTGCGTGGTATATTCCGCCGGCTGCCAATGGTTGGAGTGGGGACCATGTCTATCAATGAACTCTGTTTTTCTTCTGTCGAGGATTTCTGTGGGGGTGACTGCCTTGGTTGGGTTTGGGTGTTTTGTGTGCCAACAAGCTGGGGAAAAAAAAAATCCCCATTGGTTCCTCTACGATTAGTACATCGGGGGTGTTACCATGGTTTGCAAGATCAATTTCATCTGTACGGCATCATCTGGAAATTATTCTTAGTTACTGGTGACATAAATTTTGATTGGTTTAGTAGGGGTGGATCGGTAGTTTCATGGAAACAATTGTGTTTGTTTCTTCGTATGGTCACTGGATTCGGTAAGCATTGCATTATGTAGAGTACTTCTCCTCGTGCAATCTCTTCCAGTGTACCCTGGCATGGTTCTGGATTAGTTGACTTGACAGAGCGTTTAGGTGAAGGGATGGTGGGCCATAAGGTAAATCTGATTTTTAAAAATTTCTCTCTTTGTGTTGGCATCGTTCGCAGTGCAGTGTCTAAGTATAGATTTTTCTATTTCCACTTTGAGAAGGAGTAGTGATCGGTGTAAAAAGGAATTTGCTCTAATAGATGTAGGTCAATTAGGTCTACGATTTGGGGTAGGAGTGGGGCATACTAGGGATTTTATTTTGTGTTTAACCGTAAGGAAATTTATTAGGATTCGGGGCGTGTTCTTGATTTGCCGAAATACTTTCGTGGTTACATATTATAGACCCCTTTGTGTAGCGTTAGAGCAAATATGTTGATTTATATTAGTTCTAACTAGTACCAATTCTTTTAGTGTATTGTTTATTAGTGATCTTTTTCAACGTGCCTTCTGTAAAAGTTGTGACAGATTGGGACTATACACAAACTTGTTTTGTCTTATTGTATTGTTTTATTACCATGGTATTGGCCTAGTGTAGCAGTCGAAGCCAATAGCCGTTGATGAATGAGCATGTTACTCCTATCTCGTTAGGTGGATTTACGTTGTCGTCTTCTTGTAGAGTTGTAGCAGCGATCGTTGCTAGCGGTGTATAATTTCAGCATATTTTTCTGCTCCTATCTTCTTTGATTGTAGCTGTCTAAGTCCTCCATTGGATATAGGGACGTGTGGCTGTAACAAATCCCGACCCGTGAAACAAGAGTTCTCTCCACCGTAATGAGTCTCTCCAGTGTCAACAAACCGCACTGTTATTGCTATCCATCCCGAGACGGTCGCCCCAACCAATCCCGTTAGCGACTTTTAGTTCGCATTAGTACTTTTTACGCGTAACTCAAAATGCACCTTAAACCTATAAATACATGTCTAGCTGCTTATTGCAGTACAATTTTATCGATAGCTTTACTGATAATCTGACTTATAAACTAACCTACCAGTGTAATTGCAATATTAGTTACTGCCTATGGCCTAGAAACTGAATAAAAATAAATTGATATCTATATACCAATTATTCATATGATTAGATAAATTGGAGGACTCTGGTACTGTTTTAAATATTTACAATAGTAATATATCATCTTTCTTTTATAATATACACCCTGTATGATTTAGAGTCATATATTTTTTAATTCTCACCTTGTCATCACTGTATTTGTCTATTAGTTACGTAGAGTGTAACGAAATTTTCCTTATATGGAAAAAATATTTATAATTAACAATATTTACCTCTTCAATAAAGGGGGGTTATGGGGTCAAGAAAGTTTTGTTAAATATTTCTCTACTCTTGTGTTTCTCCCAAATCTTTATAAAATTAAATCATAAGGTGAAATTTATATTTTGATTTCTCGGCCAAACACACTGACCGGTTTACAGTGTTAATGAAAATTTAGTGTATTTCAAGGCTAATTATAACTATTGGATTATTGCTTGGAGGACGCCCAGAATTTTGTATATACTTTATCACGTGTGT